TTTATGCTTATTTGCTTTTTTTTCAATTTTATGCATATTAAAACTTATATGCTTATTTAATGCTTTTTTCGACGAATATGAGTTTTAACGCATATTTTGTTCAAAAGCCGTCCTTGTCGGGATGACAAATACTTGTTAACCGTATCGTATCGTATGCATTTTACCTGGACTTGACCATTGAAGTACACTTACTCAAGACCCTTTCTGTGAATAGGTTCAAGTTGTTTGGGTTATAAAATTTTATTATAGGATTGGAAAAATACTCTATAGATTTTATGACTTTAAATCCTTACTTCCGTTGATATTGAATTAAAGCTTTTAACCAGATGTTCTTTTTCGGCATTTTGCGGCAAGACCGTTAAAGATTTTCTAGAAAAAAGGATTATTGTACCCAACTACCTACCTTAAAATTTTTCTAATGGAAACTTTTAAGTAAATGAACCGTTTATTTCACAACCATCAGTCTATCGCATCTGTCGTAGTACAGTTTTATACGTAGTTCTCCCTTGTTACATGTTGAGTTCTTTTTGGTAATATTGCTAATATTTTAAAAGAATGCCGAAAGTAAAATCGACGCCGGATGAGTGGATAAGGGATTTTCCAGAATTAAAATTAGAAAACAACAAAATATTCTGCAGAGCTTGTGTGAAAACCGTAAGCCCACTAATTTTTTTTTATCTATTTTCCTTTGTTAATCCTGTATATGTACGTTGTTTTAGATTCAAACTGATAAAAAATATAGCGTGACGCAACATGTCAGAGCGACTCTTCATGTAGAAAGGAAGAAAATGTTTGAAGTTTCTAAAATTAAACAGCAGACCATACATGAATCTGTTGCATTTACTTCCACAAAAGATGAGCAGTTTCAGTTTAATTTCGATTTATGTAAAATGATGATCCAGCCCAATATACCTTTAAAAAAATTGGAGAAAGGCCCTCTTCAAGAATTCTTTGAAAAACACTGCAATCGACATATTCCGGTTGAAAGCTTGAAATCTAATGCTATGGGTATTGATGGTATCTCTGCTTACATGATTAAATTATGTTGTCCTAATATAGTTCAGCCAATTACTCACATTATTAATTGCTGTCTGGAGACTGGATACTTTCCAGAATTATGGAAAGTGGCTTTAATTCATCCTATTCCCAAAATCGACGAGGTAAACTCTCCAGAAGACCTAAGACCAATAAGTATTCTTCCAACATTATCTAAAGTCTTAGAAAAATGTATCTATAATCAAATCTTTAATTTTATAGTAAAAGAAGAGATATTATCTGAAGATCAATCTGGTTTTCGCAATGGATACCTATAGCACAACGACAGCTGTAGCTTCTGTTATCGATGATTGCCTGATTGAACTTGACAAAAACCACGCAAGTATTGTAACTCTTTTGGATTATTCAAAAGCTTTTGATACTTTGGACCACCAACTCCTCTGCACAAAGCTGGAATATTATGGGTTCGATCAAATTTCTGTTTCTTTTTTTAAATCATATTTACAAAATCGACATCAACAAGTTGTAACCGAGTCTGGTAAATCTAAAATTGGCTTAATAACATCAGGCGTACCGCAAGGCTCGGTCTTAGGCCCAATTCTTTTTACTATATATACTTCCCAATTGTTGCAGATACCTTCAGTATCTAAAAAGAGAGCTTTTGCAGATGACACCCAAATGCAGCATCATTTCCTACCTAACGAAGTTAATATAGCATCTAACCATATAAATAATGACTTACAAAATATAGCAAATGTTTCATCTGATATTAACTTCCAACTGAATATAAATAAATGCAAAGTTATTTGCTTCGCTCCCCGAAAATTTAAAAATGTTCTTTTTGACAATATTAATGTTAAATTTGATAACATAAAACTACCAGTTTTACATACTGTAAGAAATTTGGGATTGGTGATTGATGACGATTTTCGTTTTAAGACCCATATTTCCAACATTATTAAAAAATCTTATGTAGCATTGAAACTTCTTTATTCAAATTACCTTTTACTCAATTTTAAATTGAGGAAGAAATTATGTGAGTCTCTTGTCTTGTCATATATAAATTATTGCCTAGTAATATATTACCCATGTCTTGACAGTATTGATAAATACCGTCTTCAAAAAATCCAAAATAATTGTTGTCGTTTCATTTTTGGTTTGAGGAAATTTGATCATGTGTCTCAGAAAATCTGTAAGCTTGGTTGGATGAAAATTGACAAATTGTTTCAGTATCACCTATCTATCTTTGCTTTCAAGTTATTTTCCTCTAACTCTCCGCCGTACTTGCGTTGTAAATTTCATACAAGAAAAAGTATGTTAAACTCAAGTCTTCCATTAAGGAATCTTAAAGAACTGTCAATGCCAAAGCATTATACATCTATCTTTCAGAGATCTTTCACGTACAATATTATCAAAGTTTACAAAAAATTTTTATTAGAGTTTAATTCAAGTTCTTCCATCAATTGTTTTAGGAAAAAAATTAAAAAATGCTTGATTAATACTTAGGTTTAAGTTTATTATTGTGGTTCTCTTGCTTGTTGTTAACTTTTTGTTATTATTATTATTATTATTTGTATAAATTTAGTTTCTAATTATGGATTATTTAATTTAATTTAATTTAATTTAATTTAGATTTAATTAGTTTAAATTGTTTAATTTGATCATTACCTAGCTGACTCCTGTCTAGATATTTAATCCGTTTGGTTAGTTTTATTTTCTTGTAAATCTAAGGTTAAGTGGAATAGCCTATGGCTAGACTTCGCCTATTATTATTTAATAAAGTCCTATTATTATTATTATTATTATTATTATAAAGTACTCTCCGAAAAAATTATGTAGGCCCAGCGTTTCAGCAAGTTTACAGCGAAATTAAACATCGCATTGGAGATAATTATTTATGGTTCGCTGTCGATGAGACAACCGATAGTTGTGGAAGATACGTGGCAAGTTTAATTGTTGGAATCTTAAATGAAAATTTCCCTAGTCGAGGGTATGTAGTAAGTTTGAAAATGTTAGATAAAACAAATGGCAATACGATTACCAGATTTGTAAATGACAATCTTACGTCACTATTTTTGCCAATAAAATTTTATTGGTGATCTCGGATGCAGCTCGTTATATGTTGAAAGCAGGGAATAATCTAAAAATATTGTACCCCAATTTAATTCACTCTACTTGCATTGCCCACAGTTTAAACAGAGTGGCTGAAGGAATACGTTTGCAGTTTCCTACTGTTAATAAATTAGTGGCAAATGGTAAAAAGATTTTTGTTAAAGCCCCACTAAGAGTGCAATATTTTAAGGAAAAATTTCCAAACATACTATTGCTCCCAAAGCCGATTATAACGAGGTGAGGAACATGGTTACAGGCCACATTTTGTTTTGACAAATATATCAAAGAATTTGAGGAAGTAGTTACGGAGTTTAGCGAAGATTCTTCTCAATCGATTAAAGATTGCGTAAGTATTTTGGAAAACAAAGATTTGCGACAAGATCTAGCTTTTCTAAGAAGCAATTATCAATTCGTATGTGAGGTAATAGAAAAGTTAGAAAAACCCAAAATGTTGTTGGTAGATGCCATAAACTTAGTGAAAGAATTTAAACAACAAGCAAACGCAGTAAGGGGTGATACTGGTACTCGAGTATCTCAAAAACTTGACGAAGTGTTAAATAAAAATGCAGGTTTCGGTGTTCTTTCCGACGTTGCTCGTGTTTTATAAGGCCAGAAGGTGGAAAATTTGGAGTTAGATTCAACATTAGTTGCAAAATTCAAATTTGCGCCAACAACGAGTGTGGATGTTGAACGCACATTCTCCAATTTTAAACACATTTTAAATGATCGGCGAAAAAATTTTACAGTGGACAACTTGGAACATATTACAATCATAAATTGTTTTAAAGAAAACTGAAATACGTGTGTAAAATATAAAGTCTAGGATTATTGTAATAATATTTTATCCAAAGTTCTAAGAAGTGTTCTTTGATTTGTAATATGGTTATGTTTTTAATGCTTTTTTGCTTAAAATAAAACTTTTTTATTGAAAATGTTGTGCTTATTTAAGCGCTTATTCTTAATTTTTTTGTGCTTATAAATCCGCTCTCTAGTTATTACGTAAACTATTAAAATTACAAAAGAAAAACTATTTCCTCATTAAATACTGCTAAATTATATTAGAAGTGGTCAAAATATTGACGCTGATACCCTCATATTTAGAAAAGATGCATTATAATGTAGGTATTTATCGTCAACAACCTTCTGATGACTTTAAAATGCCGCTGAGTGCTCTAGTTCTCACAGTATTTAAAATCTGACATTTTCAGTCTATGCTGTCGATGCAGTTATATTAAAGGTGAGCTAGAAATGTGAAACACATCTATAAAATATTAATTGAACAAATGTCAGACCATTTGATAGGTTTAAGACGACAATACAAACATAGTTCACGTTTGAATTTAAAGACAATATTAAGACGTAATTTATACCGTTTTCACTACAAACAAGGCATTTAAATCAGCTTTCATTCAAATATTAAAACAATTTGCCTTGAAACCACCAGATTCAATAATTTACTACAAAAACCGAACAAAAAAATCCGTGCTATTAAGTTTAGCATCGGCGGCGCCCTCAATCCAACTTTATTCAAGGTACGCCGCGACATCTACCAGCGACTTGCCGAATCCGCGCCGCCAAGTCCAAAACAGAGCGCTGTTCAGCCGAGCAGCGAAGTGAACCCACCAAGCTCCTGCTGCCATCTGAACTCGACTCTTCACACCGCAGGAGAAAGTTGGTATTGATTTTAGCCCGCGCTCCAAATAATTTTAAGAAAAGTGGCGGGAATTTATGTTCGTCGGGAGCCCTTTTTTGGGGCGGGTTTAGCGAAATTAATTGCTGTGAGGTGTTTAATCGATGAATTATTCACTACAACACGCATTTCAACAAGCAATTACGCTCAACGAATCGCTAGCAGAGGTTCAAAAGTTTTTACACCGAAACGCTTCATTTACCTGAATATACGATAAATTTTCCCGGCTGGCGGATTGGCCGTGGAGCACGTTGGGGATTGTTGTGCCGCCCTGGAACAAAAAGAGGAAAAATTAGTCCATCGTTATCAAACGGTTCGAGATTCTGGATTGCAGTTTTTGTAATATATAATTAAAAAAAAACTCTTACGTACTCTAGCTATCGATAACAGGTGAAATTACGCTTGTGCGCTGTTGTGTAAAGTAGAAAACTAGGAAATCAAAGGGATTATAAATGCACATGTTCGTCGGATTACATGAAATCGTAATTCGGACATTCAGTCTGCAAATAACTGTGTCGAAAACAATGTCCATGATTCAACACAGATTACAAAATATGGGTTACGCAATCTATCATTTTTTACAATGCACAATTTTTACCGAAAAGCTAAACATTATGAGACAATATGGCACGAAACAGTCCAATTTAACCGATGCATTCACTGTGACAAAACAATGCATTGGAAATATATGAAAATTTGTTAATGATAAATTGACGAGCGGATTGTTCTAGTTCGTTTTTTCGAGACAAGTTTAAAACGATTTTATAAATTCCTATAACGAAATGGTGGATTTTTAATCCGCTCTGCAGTGTTGGGCAGTATCTAGATACTCGTATCTAAATAAAGTATCTAGATAAAACCGAATTTAAGCACAAAATATCTGTATCTAGATACAACATTAATGGCGCAGATACAGATACATTTTTTTATTTCACTTTTTTTCAGTAGTTATTAGTTAAGTTATACTAGTAGTAATTTTTGATACTTCATGTTGGTGATTTTGGTTACATAAACAAAAATAGAGGTAAGAGGTCCACTAATAGTGTTCTGTCACGGAAATTTTCATATTTTAAATACCATCATTTCCTACATTGTAGTCTTCAGTACTTATACATCGTTAAATATAATCCTGAGGGGTAATAAATCTAAGCCATGGTAAGATGGTATTTTAAAAACCATAAACCACAATTCACTATTCACTGCGTTTTACGCTTATCGGGGCAATGCATTTTATCTGTGTACCTGAGCAACCCGGGTCCGGTAGGCCCGCTGGTTGTATTTGTGTTATTAAATAAGAGTTATTTTAATAGTAAAAATATTTGTTTAAGGTATGTTATTATTTTTAGAAAATAATAATTGCGTGTTACATAATGATTAATTTTTTCAATTAGCACAAATTAGTTCTGTAATCGACTAATCGAATGTTCAATACATACATTTTTCTCGCATAAATCGCATATTTGTTACTGTTTTATACTTTTATTTTTCAGACAAATGTAGCATCTTTTCCTGTTGCCACATATGTCAATTCTTCACTTTTTCGTTGTTGGACCTAACGCGAGGCGGGCTTGGCAGGTCCGTTTTGCCCTAGAATCTCCCGATTAAGTTTAAGTGTAAATCTTGGGCAATAAAATTGATATTTTTACAACCCTCGGTAGAATAATTTATCGTGATATATTCTCAGAAATCGTGAAACGAGATTAAAATAAAATGAGTTTCAACAAAAATCTGAAAATTTAAAGTTGCACTCTGGTGATTCCGGCCTGCCAGGCAGCCTTTGATCCTATAAGGGGTTTAAATACCTTTCTAAGAAATTGTACTTATTTTGCCTTAAACGGAACCAGCAATTCTTCCTAAAATGTATATACCTGCCGCACCGGGATAGACGATTACCGGACATGGTCATAAAAACATGGTAGGCAGATATTGAAGAATAATAATTTATGACAGGTTGCCGACAACAGACCTTCAGCACAGAATAATCATTTCCCGCAATCTTTTGAAATATTAATTTTAATGCTGGAGATAATTATTAGATATACTCAAACACAATTTGAACACTGTAGTACGGGAATAAAAACAAAAAAAAATTCTTTTTAAGCTACGTAATAAATATTGCACAATTTGCGCCACATCAAACAGCGAAGCGATGGCCTATTTGCAGGAAAAAAGAAAAGATTTTTCAGTCTTGAATAACTATGCTACAGCAAAATGTTTATTTTTAAAATTTAATACCACAATCCCGTCTTCTGCACCTGTGGAACGGGTGTTTAGTAGCGGAAACCAAATTCTGACACCAAAAAGAAGTAATTTAGGTGACAATACGTTCGAAATGTTGTTAATTTAAAAAAATCATTAAACAATACGTAAAAAAATACATAAACATGTTTTCAGTTATTTTATTCGCCAAAGCTTCAAAAAGTATCTGTTTTCTTGTATCTGTATCTAGATACATTTCGAAAAAATCGAAAACAATCTGTATCTAGATACTTTTAAAAGTATCTGTCCCCAACGCTGCTTCTCTGTCTATAAATTTGAACAAAACCTCTTTTCCCGCCTCAAAATACAGAAATTTTAACTCTAAACCATCTTCTGGCGTCCCACAGGGATCGAACTTAGGACCCTTGTTGTTTTTGCTCTTTATTAACGATCTTTCTGATGCTATTCCCTGCAATAAACTTATGTTGGCTCATGATCTCAAATTACAGATGGAAATTAATTCTATGAATGACTGTTACTTTCTTCAGTTTTGCTTAATTTTGCTTTACCATTGGTGTATTCGAAATAGATTAATGTTGAATAATAACCATATCACTTGCGTAAAAATTGTGTCGGCTTGAAAATGTGTTGTGCTCACAAATCACCCCCAAATCCCCTTCAGTTTCCCATAGTTATTAAAAAAACATTACATCGAGCTACTCTTGTAAAGTTATGGACCCTCGTTTCCGCAGTTTTGATAGTCAAGTTAACTATAGTTCATAAAGCCGCTTCTGCCTACACTTCATCACATCTGCGCGACCTCTAAGCACATACATAAATTCTAATGTAACAGCACATACGTTATGTATCACCCTTTCTACTTGCAAAAAGGCTGACTTCGTATTAAAAAATAAAACAAGACCGCAGTGTTTAACTTTTCATCGTCCGTGTCAAAATTATGTGAAATTATGTAAATTTCATGACGGCTGCGACCGTAAAGTGGCCAAGAACATTAAATTTATACGCGAAAAAGGGGGAAAAGAAAAATAAGACCACGATGGCGCGTTTGCATTAGCCATCATTTATTGTCTCACACTGTAAATCTTGATTTGAATCTATTCCAATAAAGCAATTTGTTAAGAGATGACAAACTCGCCGTGAATTTATTACGCAATCTGGCGAGCGTTCCTGAGGATGTCGTGTTCGTGCAAAAAGTTGCAGCTTTGGAATCGAACTGGGACGAGTTCTTCCAAGCCTTTTGTGCGTGTCTGGAGCGATAAATCGAGCCTAATTAGCAGAAAATTCAGCATCCATTTGGGTTTATATTAACAAGAGTACCTACAGCAATAATGCTCCTGTGATCTTTGATCAGGCTGCTTTGACACGACTGAGTAACAGGGTAAGCTAACGTTATTCCCCGGCCGCTAATTGCGAGACTGATACATAGAGATAATTAATTTGTTCTTGTTAGTGAAGGGTGGTGGGCGGTTTTGGGAATATTTTAACATGTCTGCAAATGTTAACGGTTATTTTTCCGAAAATAAATAAGCCGGCAGTATTTATGAGAAAATATACTCTCATGACGTTATCGTACGACAAAAATCAATAAAAATTTGCGGTACTATTGGTAGTGTTGAAGAACACATTATCGGACAAGATTTTCGAATTTATTTAGGACTGGAACAACATTTTGAAGCGAATTTTAATGAAAAAAAGAGGAGAGTTCTTGTTTTATCTACACAAATTTTACATTTTGTTTTTTGCTTAATATACATAGTATTTTTTGAACATCACGATACTCAAAAACATGTTTTCAATTTCTTGTAAAGAAATAAGTATTTTGCAGTTAAGCTCCGTTCCCTTGATTCACAGAGAATAAAAAAAATCATCACAATTGAGATAGGGCGGGTGGGCGGGCTTACATTTTGCCTTTTTGTTTTAATTCACAACATGAAACTTAAAACATGTTTGAAGTGGAAAATTTATATAAGGAAATATCGATTTTGCAATTAGGCTCCGCATAATTGCAAAATCTGCAAATAAGTTTCTTGTTCTGAAAATGGCCATGTATATCAAGAAAAAAAAAGCCAAAATATAAGCCCCGCCCACTAGCCTTGTCTCAATTCTGACGATTTTTTTTTTGTCGTAAACCGAGGGGTGGAGCTTAATTTTATTGTAAATCCTTATTTTTCTTTTTTAAGTACTCGTCTTATACAGAGAAAACTAAATGTATTAATTAAAAAAGAAAACCAAAAGGGAAGCCCCACCCATCCGTTTTGATCTCAACTGTCATAAATTTTTCATTCGTTGTCAGATCGGGGGGCGGAGCCTAATTGCAAAATCGATACTTTCCTACAAAAATTTACCATTTTAAACATGTTTCACCTTTTTTGTTGTGAAAAGAAGACTACACAGAATAATAAAAAAGTGCAAAATATAAGCCCTTGCATAAGTATGACAGAAAGCTAACGGATGAGGTAAATGACGCATACCTTCGGCAACGATTTTTCCATTTTTCGACTTTTCATGGTTTTGAATTTCACTTATTTGATTTTTCGCCTTCTCATTTTTATAGTTTTCGATTTTTCTAATTTTTCGGATTTAATTTTTGAGTTTTTCGATATTTCAATTTTTCAATTTTTTGATTTTTTTTTAATTTTGAGTTTTCCCATTTTTCGATTTTTCGACTTCTCGATCTTTTGATGTTTCGATTTCGCGTTTTTTCAGTTTTTCGATTTCGATTTCTCGATTATTCAGTTTTTCGATTATTCATTTTTTCGCCTATTCATTTTCCCAATTTTTCGACGTCTCAGTTTTGGTATTGTATTATTTAAATTTTTGATTTTTCAATTTTTCAATTTTTAGCGTTTCTAAATTTTTGGATTTTTCGATTTCTCAATTTCTAGATTAATCGATTATTTAATTTTCCGATTTTTCGATTTCTCAATGTTTCGATTTCTTTGTTTTTCAAGATTTCGATTTTATATTTCTAGATTTTTCGACTTTCGGATTTTTGATTTTTTACTTATTCGATTTTTCAAAATATTGCAACTTTTTAGACACTTCCCTGTC